AAGCTGAAATACTAAACTAGCTAATGGAGTTATCATATCAATACTGATGTGTCCTTTTTTAAATTAAATGCTTTCTTCATTTTATATACCAACCACAATTCCCTCTCCCTCCCGTCCTCCTGCTCCCTTGCCAACTTCCCACCTCATCCCACCCCTATCCACTCCTCAGTAAGGGTAGTGTCTCCCATGGAGAGTCAACAAAGCCTGGCACATTCAAGTTGAGGCAGGACCAAGCCTGAGCAAGGCATCACACCATAGGGAATGGGTTCCAAAAAGCCAGTTCATGGACCAGGGATAGGTCCCTGTCCCACTGCTAGAGGTCTCTCAAATAGATCAAGCTACACAAGTGTCACCCACATGCAGAGGACCTAGCTTCCATGCAGGCTCCCCTGCTGCTAATATGTTCTGTGCCATAGAATCATATCCATCTGGTATTGGCCGAGGGTAATGATGTTCCCTGGTGGCTGCTGCAGGTTCAGCATAGCTTCAGGACATATTCATGAAATGGAAGGAGAGTTGCTGGATAGATGATAGCAGAGTAAGGGGACAGACAGAATTGAAACGGTGAGATGGCTCACTCTGTAGTACTGGAAATGACTGTCATACTCAGGGCCACTCAGAGGCATGGCCTTGATGAGGGGACAAGGAACACACTGCTGAGGCCATGAGCATCCTGGAGCAGCTCAGTGGCTGCTGTCTGTAGGATGGAATAATGGTAGGACTGTTTCACAGTCCTGACCTCCACAGTAGCGGTGGAAGCCTGAGGTTCCAGAATAACAGAGACCAGGTGGAAGCACACAGCTGCTGGAGCCAGATAAAGTGATTTCCTTAGAGAGACAGCTGGGGACCTTGTCTGTAGGAGTCTGCGGATAACAGCTAATGGGATAAATGTTCCTACAGTCAGGCCAGTCGGAAAGCCTGTAGGCTACTGTTCAGATATCATCCAAAGAGTTTTGGAAACAGATGGGCCAAGCACTTATTCAATTATTTTTTATCAATTAAAAACTCAGGAGCCAGGCCGGGCGTTGGTGGCGCACGCCTTTAATCCCAGCACTCGGGAGGCAGAGGCAGGCGGATCTCTGTGAGTTCGAGACCAGCCTGGACTACCAAGCGAGTTCCAGGACAACCTCCAAAGCCACAGAGAAACCCTGTCTCAAAAACAAAAAAAAAAAACAAAACAAAACAAAACAAAAAAAACCTCAGGAGCCAGATATCGGCGTAGGAACCTGAATGATCAGAGAAGCAGCCGAGAAGCAACTAGTGTCCTGTCTCTCATTCCTCTATCCAAAAAGGGCGGAGCCTTTCTCTCAGTCTCTCCCTACTTCTTCCTGTGTCTCTCTATATATCCTCGGTCCTCCAAAAACTCTATTGCTAATTTTGGTCAGCTAGTAGCTAGCTAGCTAGCTAAGCCCCCTGTGTTTCAATGTAAACTTAGTGTCAGTCTTCGGAGTGTCAGAGTGTGACCAAAATATTCCACAACAGATGGTGGAAGTCAGCTATCCCAATAAAAAGTTCAGATCCTTCTCATTATTTCCAATTTGAGCCAGTTGTAAATGGAACTCAGAACCCATCAAAGGAATGAGGCTCATTTCTCAGTAGAAAAAACCTTGTAAATGTATATACAGTGCTTCCCAGTTCTTCTCCCAAAGGGATCTCAGAACATCTATTCACATTGTCTCCTGTCAGGGAAAGGATTGTATGGCTTTTTCAGGGGATGCTGGGCACAGCATCTGAGCTGATGCTGAATTTTGGAAACCCAAGGTTCCTTCATTGTCTTCTGAGAGAGGAAGCTGTGAGGAAGTAAGTTAGTGTCCCTGTCACAATAGTCTACTGGATCTCCAGAGATACCCAGCCACCATTTGCCCTGTTCTTAGATGTATAATCGGGGTAGATCCAGCAGTTAGTTGAGATGTCATCTGTGAAATGACAAAGACTGTCTCAGAAAGACCAAGAAGAGGGCATGGTGGACACTGAAATTTCCCATGGGACAAATAGTGGAAAGCAGTATCCCAGCACAGTCCAGGGAATGACAGGATGCAAGGTTTGTTATCCCCATTGCACCTCCATTCAGTTCATTTCATTCCATCCATTCTTGATTCTGTTTAATCTTCTTAAGTGTTTCAAATCACAATCCAGTAAAAACTACATGTGATTGAGGAGACTCCAGGTCACCCCACGAGACTTCAGGGTGAGGGACGCAATGATTTGACTTCCAGTGAGATAGGATCTCCTTGGTGCTCACAAGCAGAGTGTAGGTCTTCAGGAAGAAAAATGGGCTTTTCCAGGAGGTGTAGATGAGCCAGATTCACAGTACCTACCTGACAATTTGAACCATGCATCTCCGTATAGGCCAAGAGCTCGTTTATGCTCATGGATTTTTATATATTAAGATTATATCATAACCCAGACTTCTCCTGGCAGTCCGAAGTGTTTCACAGTTCTTGAAAAGGATTTTTGGTTCCCATAAAAGGCAGTAAAATCCAGGTCTAAGGTCTACTACTTTCAAAAGCCACTTGGGGAGGGATGTTGTATTTGTTGTGCCCAAGTTGCAAAATCCCCAGAGACCACCAGGAAGACCCACCAAATTGCAAAAGCAAGGTTTTAATGATTGTTCATTCAACCATGACAGGGACCCTGTCTAGCTAGCTGTTGCCGCATCCTCCAGAGTGTGTGAAGTTCCCTGTCTACTGCTAGGTTTTATAGACATAAGTTACAGGATTACATCAGTAGGTATGGGTTGGTTTCTGATTGGTTGACATTTGGGAACAATTAAGAGAATTTCTCAAAGTTATATTTTGGCAAGAAATACTTGTGTATCAATTATTTTCATTGGTCAGTGCTGAGAGGGAACATTCTGTGGTTTCTATGGCATTGTCTTGTTACTTGCAGGTGACCTGTTGTTCATAGATTCCAATAGTTTTCAGAACTATATCCTGGAGACTACAGGGGAGATTTTGGTCTCCCCTGGAGTTTCTTTTGTGACCAAACAGTTCCCAGGAACCAAGTGTTTAGGAGGTTGGGGGCGGGGATCTGGAGTTTCTTTGTGTACAGTTTTGGTCCTAGGCTCTGGGAGGCCAGAGGATCTGGAGTTTCTTTGTGTCAGAGGCCTATGTGCCTTTTCTGTAGCCTGTCATGGCTGCTAAAGCAGGGGCTGAGTGAGTGTCTGGTCCCTTTATTTCTACATTGTTAGAAGTCTTTGAGTTTAGTTTACCCCTTTCAGTATTTTTAGCTAGAGCCCACTCTGGTCAGAAAGCTGTTACTGCTCTCTGACAGTAAGAGCACTGGGCACTCTATCAGAGGACTCAGGGTCCATTCCCAGCACTGGTTTACAACTGTCTGCAAGCCCAGTTCCAGGGCATCTGATACCTTCATAAAGACATAAATGCAGGCAAAACACCAATGCACAGAAAAGACAAAGAAAAAAATCACTGTTTAAAATGGAAAAGAAAAGCTGGGCAGTGGTGGCTCATGCATTTACTCCCAGCAGCCTTTAATCCCAGCACTTGGGAGACAGAGGCTCCATGAGTTCCAGGACAGCTAGGAGTACCCAGAGCAATCCTGTCTCGAAAAACAAAAACAAAAACAAAAAAGAAAGGAAAAAGAAAATAAGAGAATCTCTCAGTCAGGGTTTCTATTGCTGCAATAAAACTCCATGCCTTCTTATAGAACCCATGACCAACAGCCCAGGGATGGGATCAACCACAATGTTCTGGGCCCTCCTGAATTAATCACTAATTAAGAAAGTCTTGAGCTGGGCGTTGGTGGCGCACGCCTTTAATCCCAGCACTCGGGAGGCAGAGGCAGGTGGATCTCTGTGAGTTCGAGGCCAGCCTGGTCTACAGATCGAGTTCCAGGACAGCCTCCAAAGCTACAGAGAAACCCTGTCTCGAAAAACCAAAAAAAGAAAAAAAAAAAAAAAGAAAATCCTGAATCTCATGGAGGCATTTTCTCAATTGGAATTCCTCCTTTCTGATGACTCCTTTATGTTTCAAGTTGACATGAAACCAGCCAGCACAGACTGGGTGGTGGTGGTACATGCCTTTAATCCCATCACTTAGGTGGGAGAGGCTGGTATACCTATGAGTTCAAGGCCAGCCTGAACGCAGTGAGTTCAAGGACAGTCAGAACTACACAGAGAAACCCTGTTTTGTAAAACAAACAAGCCAATAGACTAGCAAACGTGGAAAGGTAAGTCAACAGTTCTTTCCTTGCTGTGTGGTGTCCACATGGCCATCTCAGTGGTGGGAGACTGTGGAGGAAAGGCATGTGTGACGTCAACGAGCCGCAGACTCTCAGGATCTCCCACCTAGACCCAGGACACAGGGACTCTCTGTCCTTGTCCACTTGACGACACAAAAGCTAAACTGAAGGGCTATGGCGATGCTGCAGACTAGAGGAAGGGACTCCCCGGACATGAGGCCCTGGACCAGCATCCTGCCTTCTCTGGGCTTCTTCAAAGGTGTTTCTCAGGGATAGTCCTCAGATTTCAGGAGATGGCCAGGTGGACCTCCTGTGTGCCCTTATCCATGACCTCTTCCTTGTCTGCCTTGGAATCTCTTCTGGTTCACACTCCCAGTAGAAACATTCACGTTCCCTCCTCCATCTCCCCAGCATCTCACAAACTTCCTGTGACATCCAATCTCCACAAACCCTTAGCTTACTCATGAGGGTCTAGGCAGGGATCTGATTGTTAGAGGTGTTTAATGATCATTCCTGGTGTCAACATCTTGAACTAAAACTTCTGAAAGGAGGGCATTTCTGTGAAGGATCCCTTGTTTGGTTTGATTTGGGTGGGCCGGATTCTCTTCTAGACTTTTAAGATAGGAAGACACAGGCCTTTGTTAGGGATCTTGAGCTGGAAAGACACACCTTTAATCTGGGCTACGCCCTTTGCTGGAAGCACCCGGAAGAGGGAAGCTTTTGGTTTTCACCTGCTTGCTGGTCACGCTAGCACATCCATTTCTTTATTGGCATTACAACATGCTTCTTCTGCATTCCAGTGTATACTAAAGACCAGCAGAGACATCCTGCCTTGTGGACTGAACAACTACTGGATTCTTGGACTTTCCATTCTTGGCCGGTCATTGTTGCATTAGTGGACTGCAGCCTGTAAGTCATTCTAGTAAAGCCCTTTGTATATAGAGTGACTAATCTGTAAGCTCTGTTACTCTAGGGAACCCTAACTAATATGGGGGTGTTAGCCTCAGTCTCAGCACAGTCTCTAAGAGTACAAATGTTGCTACCCAAACTCCACCAGGCCTGGGGGTAATTGCACCATGATCATGGAATTGCAAGGGCTTCCTGCCTCTGCACTCACCTGGTTCACAGGTAGAAGGAACATGAAAAAAAGACAGGTTTAGGCTTAAACAGGGTTAGGGACTCAGAGCCCCAACTCAATCAAGCCTTGGTTCTAAACCATCTGACAGACAGGAGAAATGAAGAGACGGGATGGGGATCCAAATACCATCTGGGGCTAGGGATGGCTCAGCAGTTGAGTGCATTCTGCTCTTACAGAGGACCTGGGTCTGCTTCCCAGCACCCACATCTGGCAACTCACAACTGCCTCCAACTCCAGCTCCAGGGATCCCGCACTGTCTTCTGGTATCATCAGCCACTGCACTCATGTGCACATACCCATACAGAAACATACACATCCTTTAAAACATAAAATCATGTCAGAATGCTCTATTCCTGGTAGAAGTAGAATTGGCTAAGACGTGAGTCTATGAAAGGCGCCCTGAACTCTAAACCCTGGCCTGGCCTCAGGCTCTGCTGCCAGCCATGCCCACTCCAGCCCCACGCCAGCCTGTCCCTGTGCATTTAAGCCAATCGATGAGAATAGAGCCATGGTCTGTGCAGGCAAGAAGCCCGCTGGGAGACCTGACAGGGTGCAGCCTCACCCCAGTCCTCCAAGCTCCTGAGAGAAAGTCTTCCCAGAAGGAGGAGAGAGAGGGAGCTCATGTGTCCTCATGACCCTGGGGGCTTCCTAGAAGGACTCCCTGCAGGTGTCTGCCCATCTCTCTCAGGCCCACATCTCAGGAGGTGGATAAGTTCTTCCTCCCTGGTGGCCACTGTGGCAGCTTCCTCCACCCTCAGAGGAGTTCTAGGCTGGGATGGGAACTCCTCAGAGACAATGCTCTCCCCAGGTGTCTTTCAAGCTGGGGCGTCTCCCTCACAACTGCACTTCTCTTCAGGTCTGAGGGAAAGCTTCTCTTGGTCAGGGTCCAGCTCTGGGTTCTCCTGCTAGCCTGAGAGATAACCTGGAATTGTTTGCCCCTCCCTCCCCATCTATATCACAGGGAAACCACTTCAACAGGGACGAGACAACAAATTGGGATTACTGCTAACCCCAGGCAAACTCCTCCTCTAGACATGGGAGTAGTTGAAAACAGTTTGGGTTTGAGTTTTGTTTTTGTTTTTTGTTTTTTTGTCTTTGCCTAAATAAGGCACTCCCAGGAACTGGCTCTTCTTGTTACTAGTGTGCCCTTAGCAAACCACTAAGTCCCCTTTCTCTGCCTTTTTTGCAAGCACATTTGGGGTGTGTGGGGGGAGGGGAGGACAGTATCTCACAATAGCACATTTGAGATTAGAGAAATACTTTCGTTTTTTCTTTTCCCTGTCAGGGCGGAGCCCTCCCTGCTGAGTTGGACAGAGTCCTCCCTTGAGTCAGTGCTCAGGCTGACTTCCTGCTCTCAGCTGTGGGCCACAATACACAGTCTGGAAGCCTGTGAGGAGACCCAGGATCAGAGCTCTCCCTCCCAGGCCCCTGGCAGGAGTTGCAAGATGAAAAATAGCAGCTACAGGTTATCACCAGGTGGGTCTCTCTCCCTCTGTAACTTTGCCCTCTGACAACATGGGTGATTTCATGTCTTGAGTTCAGTGGCTGCAGCTTCAGTCAGGCAAACCCCTGGACATGAGGGAGCTCTGAACTGTAGTTAGAGAGGACAGACAAGAGAGAGGGAAGAGAGAGAGAGAGAGAGAGAGAGAGAGAGAGAGAGAGACAGAGACAGAGACAGAGACAGAGACAGAGACAGAGACAGAGACAGACAGAGAGAGAGACAGAGAGAGAGACAGAGAGAGACAGAGAGAGAGACAGAGAGAGAGAGACAGAGAGAGACAGAGAAAGACAGAGAGAGAGAGAGTCAAAGAGTGACAGAGAGAGACAGAGACAGACACACAGAGAGAGACAGAGAGGCAGAGAACACAGACAGACAGACAGAGAACATCTGTCATTTTTAAATCTCAGTAAGATACCTGCGGGCAAGGCCAGCTTGCCATTATACACACAGTCACAACTTCCTTGCTTGTCACCACTGTCAGCTGTCAGAAGGAGACTCTGGTCACAGCTGTCAGGGATTCCTGGGGACCTCTTTGATTTGGTTCTGTTGTTTCCTCATGAACCCTGGGTATTGTCAGCCCCTCTGCTCTCTCTGCTTTCACTAAGTCACCTCAGGGAAGAAGATCAAACAGCAGAGGCTCAGGGTAAACAGCTGCCCCTGCCCGATCATGGTCTCCTACCTGTCAGGCAGGACTTGTCACCTAGGAAGCTGTGCCCAGGCTCACTCCTGCTCTGAGCTCCCACTCTCATTTCCTGATCCGAGGGAGGAATGGCCCTTGGTAGCAAAGGTCAGGGCAAGCTGCAGGATTTTATTTTCACTTTAGTGTCCTGTTCTAGGCCCATGTCAGCTCTGACAAGGAGATAGTAGTGTCTCTGCAAAGGAAGTCAGATGTTATTTCCCAGGACTGCAGTTGAACCCAGGGCCTTGAATATGCTTGACTATATATCTCTATGTATTTTAAAATCAAGGTTTGCTAAGTGTCTCAGACTGACCTTGAACTTGTGATCCTGTTTTGGTCTTCTGAGTGACTGGGTTATAGTCCTGCACAACAGAATGTGGTTTAGAAGTTTTAAACCTTGTGGATAGAGAAAGGATGGAACCACTTTAACTGTCTGCCATGCACATTCTCCACAGCTCCTGGTCTTGAGTTCAAGCTTCCTTCCTTTTTTCCCCAGTTTTTCAAGACAGGGTTTCTCAGTAGCTTTGGAGGCTGTCCTGGAACTTACCCTGTAGACCAGGCTGGCCTTGAACTCACAGAGATCCTCCTGTCTCTGCCTCCTGAGTGCTGGGATTAAATGCGTGTGCCACCAATGCCCGGCCTCTCTCTCTCTCTCTCTCTCTCTCTCTCTCTCTCTCTCTCTCTCTCTCTCTCTCTCTCTCTCTCTCTCTCTCTCCTTCCTTCCTTCCTTCCTTCCTTCCTTCCTTCTTTCTTTCTTTCTTTCTTTCTTTCTTTCTTTCTTTCTTTCTTTCTTTCTTTCTTTCTTTTAATACAGGCTCTCTTGGTCTTTATTATATAGTCTAGGCTGTTCTGAAACTTGTTATATAGATCAGGCTGACTGGGACTCACAACAGAGTTCTACCTGCTTCTGCCTCCCCAGTACTGGATTAAAGATATGCACCACCATGCCTGGATCGTCTTCATCTTCCAAAACATATTAATCTGTGTGTGTGTGTGTGTGTGTGTGTGTGTGTGTGTGTGTGTTTGTGTGTGTGAGAGAGAGAGGGATTGAGGGGGGAGGGAGGGAGGGAGGGAGGAAGGAGGGAGGGAGGAAGGGAGGGAGGGAGGAGGGGTGTCAGAGAGACTGAGCAGGAGAGAAAAGGAAGGTGCCTTTGGAGGCCAAAAGAGGGTGTCAGATCCCCTGTAGTTGAGTTACAGATGGTTCTAAGCTGCCAGACAATTGAACTACTGTCATTTTGATTTGGATGAGCAGCCAGTACTCTTTAACTGCTGACCCATCTCTCCAGCCTCTTTATCTTTTCTGACGTTTTTCTGTGCATAACTTGTTTTCATAAATACATAGCGTGTATTTCCATCTTTTAATATTGTTCCGTGTTTTGAGCAGCAGACTGACTATTTTAAAGTAGAAGCCTTCTTTAGTGAAGTCCTCACCATAATACCTGTACATTTATATTATTCTTTTTAATAGTTACCCTCTATTCAGAGGACTGTTATATGAACCGAGAGATTGATCAAACTAGCTCTTGTAGACCAGGCTGGTCTCAAACTCACAGAGATCTGCCTGTCTCTGCCTCTCGAGTGCTGGGATTAAAGGTGTGTGCCACCACCGCCTGGGCGAGATTGGCGATTTTTTATATTTTATTCCTGTGTGTGTCAGCTGTGTGTACCATGGATTTAGGTACAATGTAGAGGGTTGGTTCTTCCCTTCTACCTTGTGGTTTCTGGGGTTGCTGGATCCTTTAACAGCTGTGCCACCTTGCCAGTCCTTACCATAGGCTTTAAACCAGTCTCTTCTGATGGACTTTTACTGTCACCAACATGCTGTAAGAACAGTGACCGTGTAATTCATTTTGTTTAATTTCACTATGCTTCATTAGTCTTGTGCCTGAAACAAATGAAATGGAGTGACTGAGTCAAAGGGAATTAGTAATCATTTGCTCATAGATGTTGCTAAATGGCCTGCGAGGAGGCAGATCAAGGCACTTCTCAACAGCAAATGAGATAGGAGTCTTCCCTCTCTCAGTCAAAGAATGCAGAGGCCACAGAGATGTGTGTTCATTTGCTTTCTCCCTCTTCAGTGGGGAATGGGCTGCTTTTCCTGTGCACTGGCTGGTAAATTCTCTCTCCTACCACTGGTTTAGTCTTCACTAACCTTAATCAGGTGTTATCCCTTCTTCCGCGCATTTGCTAAATATCCCGGGGAACTGTGGGATATGCTGCTTCCTGTGTGGATACATTGCACTGTGTGTTTGCTGAATTTTGTCCTCCACAAAGCTAAAATTAGAATTTTAGTATTGATCTTGTAAGAAAGAAACATCTGCAAATAAAGCGGTATCAGAAGGCACTGACTGACTGAAGCCACAGTCTATTTGCATGGCAACTTTGGGGCTTGTGTTTCTTCTTCTCAGTACCTAGTACCTGTTATGAGTGAGAAATGGAACAGAGAGGACAAAAAGAGGAAGTAGAGATGATCCCACTCAACTCGGTTAGGTTGCCCATCATCTCCTCTCCCTATTTGCCCAAATGCTCAAAGCGGGAGACAAGAGGACCATCTCTGGCTGACATCTTTAGTAAAATAGAGCAGATAGACAGGTCCTGTTCCATGGTCATGTAGCACACAGTGGTGGTCACTAGAGTGAGAATCAGCACTGTTTTATCAAAGCCAAACTTATCTGCCAAAGCCTTCTGGTTTTGCTTTGTTTTTTATAAATTAGAGGTAAAATATTTGTCATTATGTACCCAACATTCCACCTGCAAGAAAGACTTAAAATCTGAGGAGTAAAATGTCCCTAGTGTTAAAGGAATGACCCCCAGAGAGAGGAGGGGGCATGCGTACCTGCAAAGGGAGACAGAAGTAATCCTCTTTTTCAGTTCCGAGAAATTGCAGAGAGCACGATGCAGATTTCAGTGCTGCCTTGCTTCCTGTGACATGTGGTGACGCGAAGGGAATGCTGCACAAGGATAAATTCAAACAAGGTGGGTTTCATGCTTTTTAATTTGCAACTGCTAAATAAAAAAAATCACAAGCAATAATGGGTTACTTAAGGAATTGGAGGTGTGTGCCTTGAAGACAGGAAGGGATCCTAATATGCTATTTCCAAACCTGGAGAAACCATACCTAATAGAAGCTCACAACATGAATGCAGCCATGAGATGCCCAGGGGACCAGAGAGAAGCCCATGAACTTCCATCCAGAGATGGAAACGACTGCATGTTTTCCGTCCTGTCAGCCTCTGTCTTGTCTTCATATCCCTGGGTCATTAGCACCCTGGGAGGGCACTTGTAGCGGTGAAACCATCACAGGATTGAGAATCAGAGAACCCGAGTCCCAGACTCAGCTTTGCCAAGCCAGGTGTCTCATTCTGGTGGGGGAAGGGCTTTCTGAGCATGAAATTTCTCATTTTTAAGTAGAGGACAAGAAGACAGAGCCTGACCCATGGCATATCCATGAGGATTAATTTATACTGTTGAGAGGACAGAGTCTGCAATGATATGCCAAAACAACTGTGATATGATGGACTTCATCTCAGATCTCTCTCATTATGAACCTGTGATTGACAGTTGACAGAAATACATTGTCACTATTTGTAACAGCTTTACTGAATTATAATTCATATACCATATAATTTAACATGTAGTCTACGATCAACGAAGTTTTCTTCTTTGATGCATCATAAAAAATTACCATGAGAACATATTTGTCTATTGCCCTACTGAGCATTCACCCACCTCATTCCTGATCTATAAATCTGCCTACTTTGCACATTTCATACATATGATGTCGTATGATATGTGCCATTTATGACTGCTTGCTTTCACTCAACATGATGATTTCATACCTGTCTGTGTAGTTTATACAATATTATTTTTAATTGCCAAATAAAATGATATTTCATTTTATGGCCCTATCACATTTTCTTTATTAATTCATCTTGGTTTTTTTTGTTTTTTGTTTTTTTTTTTGTTTTTTGAGACAGGATTTCTCTGTGTAACAGCTCTGGCTGTCCTGGAAATCATTCTGTAGACCAGGCTATCCTTGAACTCACAGAGATCTACCTGTCTCTGCCTCCCGAGTGCTGGGATTAAAGTCATGTGCTACCACCAACTATCCAGTTTGTATTGTTTCTACGTTTGGCTATAATGAATAATGCTGCTTTGAGAATTCGAGGACAACATGTGTAGCAATATCAACACTCAGTTTGCAGCACAACCACAGTAGTGGATTGCTAGGTCATGGTGGTTATGTGTTGAACTCTGTAAAGAATCGCTCAAATGGTATTGATAGTGGCTACACTGTTTTACATTCGCATCAGCAATGCAGGAGACCTCCAACTTTCCTATATCAATGGCTGTTATTCCTTGTTGTTTTATTATTATGGTCATCCTGGTGGGATATGAAAGGGTATTGTTGTGATTTTGTTTGTATTTTCGTAATAATGAAGATGCCAAACATAGGACTAGGTTTGTTTGTTTGTTTGTTTTAAAAAACATAATCTAGCTGGGTAGTGGTGGTGTATGCCTTTAATCCCAACACTTGGGAGGCAGAGGCAGGTGGATCTCTATGAGTTCAAGGCCAGACTCCAATGTCACTGAGAAACGCTGTCTCAAACTCCCCATCCAACCTCCCCCCAAAAATCCCATAATCTGAATTTCTGCTGAGTAATATGTCATTTCTGTTTAAATGGTAGGGATGGGCAAGCTTCTGTTCAACAGTCTCATTCACTTGGGTAGACAATGACATCACAGGACTCCCCAGCTGCAGACACCAGCTGTAGCCTCAGGTCTAAGCTCAGGACCCCATCTCCACCTTGCCTGGGGCCTCCTGACACTCTGGTTGTTCTCCAGCCCGAGAGTCAACATCTGGTTGAAATCCACTCACTCTGTGCAGTCACTACTAGCTGGCCCTTTTCTAGGTGACCCTGAAGTAGTTTTGAAACGTTTCTGTGGGTGGTGATTGCCATGTTCTTCATGCATGAAGATCAAATAGACATGCATGGCATCAGCAAAGCGCTTTAGGGAACTCCGGGGCTGAACTGGGGCTCCTGAAGCCAGAAAGGAGACCCGACTCTTCTGCTGTTGACTCTGAGCACTGTTTGGGTGTCTCCAGCTCCAGTGTGGAGAGAGGTCATGAATCTGAGCTCTAGGGACAAAGCAGGCTTACAAGCAGCCTACTGTGGTCTTACAGGGACATATGTGGTCTTACAGGGATATCTGTGAAGTCTATACAGAGTGAAGATGGGAACTGGTTCTCACCCCCTGAATTTGAAATCCTGGGAGGCCTCGGAAGATCAAAGAGATGGAAATCAAGTCTGCGTTGCTACAATTGCCCCCTGAAATTACTCATCCAGGTATTGTAGTGTTGGGGAGGGGGGTGTTAGTGCTTCTTGCACTGTTTACAAATCAAATAGGTAGCCGGGCCTTGGTGGCACACGCCTTTAATCCCAGCACTCGGGAGGCAGAGGCAGGCGGATCTCTGTGAGTTTGAGGCCAGCCTGGTCTACAAGAGCTAGTTCCAGGACAGCCTCCAAAGCCACAGAGAAACCCTGTCTCGAAAAAACAAAAAAAAAAACAAAAAACAAAAACAAAAACAAAAAAAACAAAAAAAAAAAAACAAATCAAATAGGTATGGAATTTGGGAAAGCCCTGATGCCAAATGACATTTTCCTGTCACTTAGGAGAGAAGCAGCCCACATTCATAATCTCATTGCTGGGAGGTGGTGGTATTGGCAAATGATAGATAGTGAATCTCTGAGGAGGGAATGCCATTCAGGATTGGTGTTCTTGCAGAGAAATTTCTGCATTGAGCCGAAGGAAGAGTTGACTGTCAGACAAGTGGAAGAGAATCTAGGGAAAGCACATGCAAGCAGCTGCTGCAAAGGCAGTTGTGTGCATATGGGGGATGAGTTGTGTGTATGGCATAAACCATCAATTTATGTTGTTCATGCAGGAATTTAATGCCACCAAAATCACCTCAAATTCATAATGTGAACAAGGACTCAGTGATGTCCTTGAGGGTAGAAACGGCAGTTGAAATACATAGTCATCATCATTGTCATCATTATTTGGTGTGCAATGTTTGAACCCAGCGTTTCTAAGCTAAAGAAGACATCAACCCTATACTAACTCCACCCTATGGTTATACTGTGATTGCTGTGTTACTGTGGTAAATACTATGATCAAAAGCAACTTGGTGAAGGAAAGGGTTTATTTGGCTTACAGGCTGCACTGCATTATGGAGGGAAGCCAAGACAAAAAACACAAGTCACAAACTTGGAGGCAGGGACTGAAGCAGAAACCACAGAAGATCAGTGCCCGCTGGCTTGCACCTTGGCTCATGTTAAACTGCCTTTCTTACTCAGCTTAGGCCAACCTTAACTGGGATGGTACTACCCACAGTGGGCTTGGACTTTCTATATCAATCCACAATCAATAAAATGCCCCCATATACATGCCTATAGATTATCTGAGACAGACATTTCTTCAACTGACATTCACTCTTCTTTGGTATGTCAAGCTGACAACCAAACTAACCAGGACACATCTGTAATGTTATTAGAAACAGACTGTCCTAGACCTGATTTCATCATCTCCCGATCCAGAAAGCCAGCCTTTCTCCTATTAGTCTTAGCTCAGGTATCTCACCCCTTCCTGACCCTTCTTAAACTGTTTGAGATTGGTTCGCTGTGCTTGCTGGTGGTGGTGGTGCATACCTTTAATCCAAGCAATCCTGAAGCAGAGGCAGGTGTGTCTCTGAGTTCAAGGCCAGCCTGCTCTACACTGCAAGTAGGATAGTCAGGGTTACACAGAGGAAACCCTGTTTTGAGAGAGAGAGAGAGAGAGAGAGAGAGAGAGAGAGAGAGAGAGAGAGAGAGAGGGAGGGAGGGAGGGAGGGAGGGAGGGAGGGAGGGAGATGCTTTCCCCATGAGCTTTCTCCTCTATCCCCCCACAGTCGGGTTTTCTGTCTTTGTGTTCTCCAAATTCATCAGAGTATGTGACACCCTAGATGCATGCAGCAAGTGTGTGTTGACTAGCTAGACCTGGTATGGAAAGTCGAGCTGAACTGTGTCAGGTGCCAACAGAGAACATGTGGTGGTTGAATCAGTGACAGTGAGAGAAATTTCTCAGGACTTAAGGAAGAGGGATATAAGGAGGTCTTTCCGGCTTCCACGCTCCGGAGTCTCTAAGTTGTGGGTGCTGAGAGGGAATTGTAGTCACACGACGTGGATCTAGGCAGAACTTCTGGGAGGAGCTGGGCAATGCCAGACTCACACCACTGAAGTACAGATAACTACATACTTGGGTCCTTCTATCTTGCAGAGAAAGTTTCTACCCAATTCTCCAAGAATATATGGCAAGAGAAAAAAGGTAAGTTCTCAACATGTGATTTTACACACCAAGCCTCTTATTTCATGGTGTCTCGTTTGGGCTGTCAACTTCAGCCTTCCTCCACTTCCCATTGCTTCCTCCACTTTTTTGTTTTCTTGTTTCATCGTATGTCCTCATTCATGCTACTGCATTGTGTGTAAGGCTAGGTCTTTCTTCAGCTTTGACTCCTTTGAGTTGAAGATGATAGAGAACCACCAATACAGACTTCATAGACTAAAAGATATGTCAGAAGCTGTGTTTGTGGGGCTGTGATTGAAGCCAGCCGAGCAACCCCGTATTCATGCTTGAGAGGGGGTGTGTGGATGAGGAAAGCCTAGTTAAAACGGGTTAAGAACAGAGACCGGACAGCTCTCAGGAGGGCAGATTCAATCCATACTGAATGTGCCCTAGTTTATCCTTTCCTGATCTTACTTATACAACCTACAGTGAGGACAAAATGGTAGAAGACTTCTGTTATCATGTATAAGGGGCAAAGGTTTATTTCCCTTAATCCTCCAGGTATTTTGTAGCCACACCTGCCATCTGGCCTTCAGGGTTGACAGTAAATGCACCTGGGCCCAGGTCTATTGTTATTTAGATAAGAGACATCTACTGCCATGACCAAGACATCCTATAACCACCAAGCTACAGACTTAAGGACATTTTTAAACTCTCTGACCATTAGTCAAAATGTAATGGACTCCTTTTCATGGGTCTTAACTAAGTTATCACTCCAAACTAGGGTTTATAGTTCACTGAGAATTTGAACTTCAGGCTTACATATTATTTGTCATTTGCATTATTGTCTGGCTGATTTGAACTCTAAACCACTTGGATGTTTCATCCACTCAGTTTTCTAGAAGGAAACTACCTCATAACCTGTTCAATGAATACTTAAAGCTCATTGCCTCTACCTTCCCCTAAATGCTAAGAGTATCTTGTACTGGATCACTCAAATGAGGTAGAAATGTCCAACCCACACAACCATCCTTATTCTGGGGTGCAGTGCTTCATAGCACAAGGGACTCTTCTTGCCTCTTATTTTGAGTCTCTGTTTCTAAGAACAGAATTCCCAGAAAAACAGAAGCCAAGTTCCATTTCCACTTTCATAAGTCTCTCAGGGCCTCTTCATCTGCTCAGAGCCATGGATTCTGGGAACTTCCATGTCACTGTCAGCATCACACGACAACTTCCCAGCTCATGCAGGACCATGATGGTGATGACTGATGTGTGTCAGACAGTCTGGTATGGTCACCAGAACCATCATTTCTGTATGCTGACATCTGCATTGAGATACCTGGATTCTCTTTCCAATCGAAGTAATATTTACTCATCTGTGTAATGCACAATTAACAAGTGCACACTGAACATCCAAGGACTGTAGAGAAGCTAGAAACAGTAGCCCCGAGGGACATCAAGGACTGTGTCAAAGTCATTGTCCCATTAAAGGAAAACAAATAGTGTGAAGTGGATTCCAGGACAGTGGACAGTGGCAGAACCCTCTCTTAGGTGATTGTACCCCAGGTCATCCTTTTTTTGTTGTTTTGGTTTTTGTTTTCGAAACAGGGTTTCTCTGTATTGTTTTGAAGGCTGTCCTGAAACTCGCTCTGTAGACCAGGCTGGCCTCGAACTCACAGAGATCCGCCTGCCTCTGCCTCTGCCTCCTGATAAAGGCATGCGCCACCAACACCCGGCTCCCAGATCATTCTTGCTCTAGCACATGTCCCTGGACTGGAGTTAAGAGCTGAGACTACCTGGGTCACAGAAAGGAAGGGTGACAAGTCATTCCAGTGCATGTGTTAAAGGCAATGTGATTTTCAGTGTTGATCTTAACATTGCACTCTGTTTGGCATCTCTTTGAGTTTTGAAGAGAGAGGAGAGATTCGTCAAGAGGAAGAGCTGCAGCCCTGGGTTCGTAGTTGTGTTCATTTGATTTTCAGGGGGAGCTTCAGAAGGTCATGAATTTCCTCTCTGGGATCACTTGGACTCCAGGACTCTGAGCCTTATAGGTTCCAGAATAGGATTGTCTTGTCTAATGGCAGCTCCTCTGCAGCAGGGGTACTGGTGGTCACAGCTGATACATCGTGGGTGGCCAAATTTAAAGAAAATGGCTGAGAGCCTTAAATGTTCTAGGACTGGTAGTCTTTAGAAAATAGATCGCGCCTCCTTGTATGAGTCCACCAGGGTTCTTTGGGTGAGCAGGTCCAGTAAGGAGAACTTGCTTTGGTACAAAAAAACAAAACAAACAAACAAACAAACAAAAAACACCTCTTTTTCTCCTAGTAGATGCATAGGTCCATAAAAATAGGTTGGTGGGGGCGGGGTGGGGGGCAGGTATTCTAAGAGAAACACTTTAGACAGAATGACCTAAACCAATATTTTCAATCAAAGTATGCAAGAGTAAGAGTCCTCTGTCAGCAAATTCTGGGTTCACAAGGCTGAATTGAAAATGAGACTGAGAAGCACATTTAATTGATCAGGATGCAAAGTCCTTAGTGAGAGACTACACCTAAAATGTCTCCTTTAATTTTGCCTTGCATTAGCCTCTAACTTGTTTGGGTGTGAATGTCAAGCACTTGAGCTGTTCCTACCCACAAGCCTCTAAATAATTAAATTTTATCTAGGCAAGATGGCACATGACTGGAATCCCAGTATATAGAATGTGGAAGCATAAGGATAGGGAGTTCAAGTCAAGCCTTGGCTATATAGTCATTCCAAGGCCAGCCTGGGCTAAAGCAAGACATACCTCAAAAATAAGATTACTGCTGGTGATGATGAAAACCAATTTAAACAACTATCATTTGACTCCTTGAATGAATAACAAATTCAAATTTGATATTTAACATTGTTACTCAAATTTCCTCTTTCAGCAAAGAACACAAAATATATACAGTTCCCCAGCTGACCCTCGTATAAGTACCAACTACTAACTACAACTCCAGAAAAGCCTGGTCCTTATCCTTGCCAGTGTCATAGTTCCCTGTCCCCTGAAGGGGCTCAATGCCAGTGGGTATTACCAGAACTGTCAATAACCCTGGCAGGGGGGGCCAGACGGAGTGTTAGGGCCAGAAGCATCCTACCAAGTGTTTCTCCATGTGTTCTCATGCCCTCATTTACCTAAAGGTGAGGGTGGGAGACAAAGCTCTAGATCTCTGGGGTCCCCGGGACAGAGGCCAGAGTGGCAGTGGGAATGGCTGTCTGTGGATGAAGGGTGAGGAGCAAATACGGGGAGGGGGACAGTTTTGTTCCTGCAGTTTACATTCCATGCTGTTTCTAAATATCCCAGGAATAGGCATCCATGCCCTTGCAGACTCATGCAAAGGCCACGCCTTGAGGATTGCCACAGTGGTGGCTCTGTGAGGTCTCTTCTCCCAGTGATGTAAATCTTCTACTCTACATGCAGAACTCAGATGAATGTGAGGTGTGCCGGAATGGGGGAACACTCTTCTGCTGTGATACTTGCTCCAGAGCCTTCCATGAGGAGTGTCACATCCCAATGGTGGAGGCTGAGATGTGAGTGAGATGTCCCTGCTCTGTCTCTTCCTTTCCTTGTCAGACACGTTACCCTTGGAGATTGTTGGCTGGTTCAAGATGTTGTCAGCAAGAGGTTGATGTTCTGTGTTAGGGGAAGCTTCTCTTCTGATACAAAGTCTGGGCCCTTTCCCTATACTCTACTGCTGTCTTTTCCTCAAAGTTGTTCACCGGAGCCTCTTGTCCAAAGCATTGAGAGTGGCATATGCCAAGTTCTTCTCTTATGTACTTCTTCATGAAAGAAGGAAACATGAGTGCTTTGTGCAGTTCACCAGGTTATAGTGGACCAATTGAGGTCCAAGGTTCCCAGAATTTGTGGAAGACCATTTTCTGTGTACAGACCTGATACCCTGGTCTCTCTGTGCTACGAGAAATCTCTGTTGGGAAATGTGGATCCCACCGCTCACCATAAATCCTTTTTCCAAGGACTGGCTCTTGTCATGACCCTGATGGGAGTACCAGTAGCTTCAGATCCTACATGGGCTCCCTCAGAGCCTGGGGACCTCTTCCCCAGATGAGACTGTCAGCCATTCCTTAAAGCACAGAGGCAGGCACAAAACTGTGGCTGTTTTCAACTCTTGGCCCTGCTCATCCCATGTCCAACCTTTCAGAACACCGTGGAGTTGCATCTTCTGTAGGATACAGTCCTTAGGAAGCCAACAGAGTCTTCAAGAATCTGAGATACTGCAGAGGCAGATGGTGCCCCAGGAACAGTTGGTGAGTTCCTATGAACCCCAATCTTTCTCCTTTCCCCTGGATGAGCATAAACAGTTTTGGAGCCTGAAGAAAGTGCCCAAAGGGAGCCTGCTCCTCCAAGTGACACTCCATCATGCTGCTGTCACAGCATAACCCATTGACACAAAAACTAAAGTCTGTAACCAAGAGACACTCAAGTTGGTGAAACTTCCAGATGGGTTTGAGTGGTTCCTTTCTCCTGGGCATGCGTATGGACTCTGCCTTTCTAAGTCACCTTGACTAAGTCTCCTTCTTCTTGCAGAAGTGTGAGTTTGTCCTGTTGAGCGTCTATTGCTGTTCTGAGAGCTCCTTTTTTTCCAAGATTCCTTATTACTATTATGTGAGTATTGGCTGCCATGATGTCATGTGACTATGAGAGGCACTTGTGGGATTGTGATCAAATCCCCCAGGGCCACAGGCTCTGTTTTTTTCTGCTGGACTTTCTCAGGTCTTGGGGAAGGTAAATGCTGAATCTTACCAGTCACTGTCTCAGAATTGCTATTTCTGTTACTAGTTTAGAGAGACATCTATGATTGTAAAGAAACCTATGTGGTTGGACTTGATCAAGAAAAAGCTGAGAGAGAGAGGCTACTCCCTTGTGGAAGAGTTTGTGCAAGACATGAGACTCATCTTCCACAATCACAGGACCACATTCAAGGTCAGCATCCCTCCCTGCCTGCATCTCATCCTCTTTCCACTGGGTCACTCTTCCCTCAATTTCTGATGCCTGGAAAGTCTAGTTTCGCACATCTTCCTGTAATAATGTTTCATAAGCAAGAAGACTGAGATGCCAGATACAGTGGTGTATGCCTGTGATCACAGCCTTCAAAGGGCAGAGGTAGGAGGATTGTCTTGTGTTCAAAGCCTGCCTTGTTTACAGTATAAGACCCTATCTCAAACAAACAAGCAAACCCAACAATGCAGGAACCTGTAAAGTGAGGTGTTTTGTCTTGTGTTTCAGTTTATGATCTACCAGGTGCCTTGACACAATAGAGTTCCCCACCATGAAACGGCTCATAGCTCATGTGTTCCCCTGTCTACCGGCTCTAGGAGCATGCAGAGTTAAGGCATCCTTCCCTCATATACATGAGAATGTATTTCTATTAATTAAATTTTAGAAATATGTATATGTTTCATCTGGGTGTGGTAGCACATTATTTTACTCCTAGCATATGGGAGGCAGAGTCAGGCAGATCTCTGATTCTGAGGCCGTCCTGGTCTACTGAACAAGTTCTAGGACAGCCAGTGCTATACGGAGAAATCCTATGTAGAATAAAGTGTGTGTGTGTGTGTGTGTGTGTGTGTGTGTGTGTGTGTGTGATATGTATGTATACATGAGTGTGTGTGTGTGTATGAAGTCATAGTGCATGTACCTGCGACTATAGGGACTGTATGGGCCTGTGTGTGTGTGTAAGAGAGATATGTATGTATACATGAGTGTGTATATGTTCATGTGCGAATGCAGATGCCTGTGTGTCATAGTATACACCAGGATCAAGTTAGAGAACATTCTTGGGTAGTGTTCTTCATACTTCATTTTGTTTGACACAAGGCAGCCTGTTGACCACCACTGTGGAGGGCAGGGATTACAGATGTGTCCTGCCACATGCAGCTTTCCATAAATTTGGGGATCTGAACTCCGGTACCCACACTTGTGTGACAAACATTGACCCACCGAGTCATCTCCCCAGTCTGAGAGTTTTCTGTTTCTTACATTCTCCTAGGCACAATTCTCAGAAAGAGCAAAGTGTACATTTCCTTACACATGGTTGGACCATGAAGTTGACAATTCCCTCAGAGGATAGAATGCCGAGAAGGAGGAAATGTTTCTTTCACAGATAACGAGCTCTATCATTCTTTGTTATTTTTTTCTAGGACCCCAAGTTTGGCCAAATGGGACTTAGACTGGAGTCTGAGTTTGAGAAGAATTTCAAGGAAGTGTTTGCTGTTCAGGACACAAATGAAAACAGTTAACTGATTTCACAGATGCTGCTGGTGTCCTGGTACCATGCCCTTTTCTGACTAGGTTTTTGCACCTGAAGGAAGACCTCACTAGACTGACTCCATCATCCCCAGAGGATTACTCTGGGTCACATGGACACAGTTGCAACTGGGAGTCACACCTCCTGGCCTTGTGGTCCATCCCCCTGCCTCCAGCTACAACCAAGGGTCTATGCTGGAGCCTGTCTCCATCTGGCTTAGTCCCCCTTCCCTTGAGACATATATGTTGCTGCCCTTGTCCCTCCTTCTGAGAGCACTTCATAATTAACCATAAGCTCCCAAGACTTCAATTTCTGTGGTGACACACTCCTGTATTTCCAGCCCTTGGAAGGCTGAGGCAGGAGGATACCTGGAAGTGTGATGCCATCCAGGGCTGCATTGTGAGTTTCAGTTACTCTGGGTTATAAAGTAAGATCCTGGTTCCAGCAAACAATTCACCACATAAGACAAAAAGGCCTCAACTCTGGGTCTTTCTCTAGGAGCCTCATTCTAAGATGACAGTTCTAGAAGCAAAGCCTCAGGGTGGGATTCTAGAGTTGGGTCACTGTGAATAGGCCCTCAGGTTGTTAAGCTAGCACAGGGACCAAATGTTAGCCTGAAGAAAGGTACTAATGATTGTATGAGCCTCAAGCATATTCGATAGTGCCATATTCCATAGTGGGTCGAGAAAAGTAATTCTAAGAATGATGGGATTCAGTGGCTGTGGGGAATTGGTACTAATAGATTTATAACAGTTATTGACAGGCTTAGATGTAGAATTCCAAGTTCATGATTCTGCAGCTGTGTTTTCAGACAGCAGCAAAGGCTTGCTCCAGGCTGTTACACTCAGAAAGACAGAACTCCAGGGAAGACTGGATTCTAAGCTAGGAAGTCTCTTGTGCCAAAGTCAGAGTCCTGAAACTCAGGCTGGAGAACTGAAATAGTTATTCGGGAGAACTGTGAACTTGTTTCCCATGAACTTACTTACCTATGAAGGAATCCCTTCACTCTTTCTTGGAAGAAAGATCCACCTTGCTGCACGAATTATAAGAGACACAGATGCTGATATTGGGGTTCAAACTTCAAGCTGAATATCAGAAAAAGCAAAGCAGCTGACCCAGTAGCTTCTTTCCTCTACCTCAGGCTCAATGGGCTGATCCACGAGCTCTTCACCAAGCCTCTGACAGTAACCTCTCCTCAGCTTGGCTGGAGAATGAATGCCTCCTACTGACTAGGTCCTGTGATCTGTTAACCTTTTAGATTGATTCAATGTTGTGTATCCCTGGGTGACTTTGGACTCGGAGAGATCTGTCTACCTCTTAATCCTGAATCCTAGGATTAAAGGTGTGTACCACCACTTCCTACCTTCTGGCTACTGGGATTAAATGTGCGTGCCTATATTCCATGGCTTGTGGCTGACTTTGCTTTCTGAATCATCAGGCAGGCTTTAATAAATCATAAATAATATAATACCACATCACCTCTGTCCCCTGTCTTGCTTGAATGAAGACTGTGTGACCTTCCAGCAAGGCTCAAGTGGACAAGCCCTGGATGGGACTGGAAGGTGTGAGAGAGAGAGGCTACACACCAAAGGAATATCAATCTCAGCAGACAGGAGGGGCAAGGATGCTTTGTTTTGGGGAGAACACTGAGTAAAGAAAGCTTAAATACTAAACTAGCTAACAGAGTTATCAATACTTAAAAACATTCTTCTGTGCCATAGAATCATATCCATCTGGTATTGGCCGAGGGTAATGATGTTCCCTGGTGGCTGCTGCAGGTTCAGCATAGCTTCAGGACGTATTCATGAAATAGAAGGAGAGTTGCTGGATAGATGATAGCAGAGTAAGGGGACAGACAGAATTGAAACGGTGAGATGGCTCACTCTGTAGTACTGGAAATGACTGTCATACTCAGGGCCACTCAGAGGCATGGCCTTGATGAGGGGACAAGGAACACACTGCTGAGGCCATGAGCATCCTGGAGCAGCTCAGTGGCTGCTGTCTGTAGGATGGAATAATGGTAGGACCGTTTCACAGTCCTGACCTCCACAGTAGCGGTGGAAGCCTGAGGTTCCAGAATAACAGAGACCAGGTGGAAGCACACAGCTGCTGGAGCCAGATAAAATGATTTCCTTAGAGAGACAGCTGGGGACCTTGTCTGTAGGAGTCTGCGGATAACAGCTAATGGGATAAATGTTCCTACAGTCAGGCCAGTCGGAAAGCCTGTAGGCTACTGTTCAGATATCATCAAAAGAGTGGAGTTAGATGGGTTCATGGTGGAAGTCAGCTCTCCCAATAAAAATCTAGATCCTTATTATTTCCAACTTGAGCCAGTTGTAAATGGGAATCAGAACCCATCAAAGGACTGAGGCTCGTTTCTCAGTAGAAGAAACTTTGCAAATGTATATACAGTGGTTCACAGTTCTTCCCCCAGAAGGGATCTCAGAACATCTATTCACATTGTCTTCTGCCAGGAAAAGGAATGTATGACTCTTTCAGGGTATGTTGGGCACAGCATCTGAGCTGATGCTGATATTTGGAAAACCAAGGCTTTATCACTGTCTCCTGAGAAAGGACGCTATGAAGAGGTAATGTAATGTCCCTGTCACAATGAGTTCACTGGATCTCCAGAGATACCAAGGAATATCATTTCCCCTGTTCCTAGATGTATAAGCAGGCTAGATCCAGCAGTTAGTTTAGATGGCACGTATAAAATGACAATGACTGTCTCAGAAAGACCAAGCAGAAGGCATGGTGGACACTGAAATTTTCCATGGGACAAATAGTGGAAAGCAGTATCCCAGCACAGTCCAGGGAATGACAGGACTGCAGGGATGCAAGGTTTGTTATCCCCATTGCTCATCAATCTCTTCATCTGTCCACAGTCTGCAAAAGCTACATAAGGTGAAGCCTCAACTGTAGTAGTGTCAGATGTAGTGTTTATTTGCTGTGTGTGTGTATGTGTTGCCTTCATATATGCCTGTGCCTGGTGCCCAAGGAAAACAGATGAGGGTGGTGGATTCTAGTACTGGAGTTAGAGATGGTTTTGAGCTGCCTAGTCGGTGCTGAGACTCAAACTTGGTCCCTTGAGAGCAGTCAGTGCTCTCAACCTTTAAATCATCTCTCCCACCTGGTGTCTTTATTATAGCCCCTTGGAAGGGATGTGCAGCTATTAATATGGAAAATCTAGCAGAAGTCATAGGTTAAAGAGAATTGACCGCTACATGGATTAGAGAACAGTATACATGTGCAGTACACTGTTATATGTATAGTACACTGTTGTATGTATAGTGCACCTTAGCGGAAAGTAACATCTCCTGATTTCTGTTCAGACATAGCCTGTCTCCTAGGACTGCTGGTGCATGCCTTTCTTTCTAGCACCCAGGAGGAAGAGACAGGCAAGTTCAAAGCCAGATTGGTCTTCATAGCAATTCTGGCATATTCAGAGCTACATAATAGGGCAAGCCTGTCTCACACACACACACACACACACACACACACACACACACACACACACACACACACACACAGAGTCTGCCTGTATTCTGCCAGACATTATTGCAATCCTCTATATTGGTAACTATATGTTCTTTCAGTCTGATGAGCAAAACTCTTGTGTATTTTGAGTACCTGGATAAGTCACAGGCAGTTCAGGTGTTAAGAGATAAACCTTGGCCGGGCAGTGGTGGCACATGCCTTTAATCCCAGCACTCGGGAGGCAGAGGCAGGCGGATCTCTGTGAGTTCGAGACCAGGCTGGACCGACAGCCTCCAAAACAATACAGAGAAACCCTGTCTCGTAAAAACCAAAAAAAAAAAAAAAAAAAAAAAAAGAGATAAACCTTACAAAGAGTCAGTGTATGGTATATAGGTGAGCATCCAGGGGTGCAGGCCTTGGGAGCTCTCAGGATCTCCCCTTCTCCCCTGTACAGTTCCCAGCCCTTTTGCTGTGCATCTCCTACGACTAAGAAGCGCAAGCTTTAGAAGACAGCTCCTGCCCAGCAGAGGGAAAGGGCAGCTCCAGCCAGTCAGAAGGTCAAGTGCCGGGAGCTCAGCTCCTTGAGTCTGCTGGAGGAGAAGGGAAAACGACTATGGTTGGCAATCTGGTGATAACCATTCAGGCGCTGTGAGCCATGTGTGTTTGGGTGGGAGTGGGGGTAAAAGACACCCTGTCTTAAGAAAATGTTTTCTACCTAGTAATGGTCAATGGATACAATCAGCAGTAAACAGAGCAACATTATGAATGTCTGGACATTTGCCTTTTATTGTCTTGTTTACAGTTGGATCTTTTCAGTTATTTTTGGAGATGTGAGCAAGAGTTGCTTATACTGACAGGCCAAGACTTAAGCAAAGACTCTGAAGTCTGCCCATGTAGATGGAAACAGAGGTTCTCCAGGGCTGGCTGTGTGTCCTTGGGTAAGTTTCTCGCCCTTGTTTCATCTGTATCATGAAGATGCTAGATGTATGTAGGTCATGAGATGGTTGGCTTTATATTAATCATGCATTTATAAAGTGATTGGCCCTGTATGTAATCTACAAAAATAATCAACACAAATTTGTAAAATGTGCACAAACATCCTTTGATGAGCAAAGATTCATTACCACCCAGAGAGACTTCATTTTTATAGATTAGACAAAGGGGACATCACTGTTGTAATTCATGGTGGTGCAGAAAATGGGCAGGAAGCCTGAGATGCTGAGATGGCAAACAGCCCAGGAACCAGGAATGACTGGGCATTGACACCAGAAACACCTGGGATTTCGTGTTAAAGGGCCTGATGGTCAGCTACATGCTGAAAAAAAAAGACAACAAAACAAAGAAACAACAACAACAACAAGCCCTCTCCATAATTCTTCCCTGCAGTATCTAGGAACTACCCCCTCCCCAACACACAAACACAACACAGTAGAATTAGCTGGGATTACAGAAATGTGTCAGTCAATGATCCCTCTACACATATACCAAAGGGAGGAGAGGTTGTTCACCCAAAGGTACCACTAGAATATGGGTACATAGGGGGCTGGATAGCTGAGGAAAACAAGGCTGAGGGATAGAATCAATCTGAGGAACATCCAGGGTGGACCAATGCTGCCCAGTGGGGGATGGGGCAACTTCAAGCCAGTCTGAAGGATGAAGAGCCAGCAGCTAAGCTCTGAGTCTGCTGGAACAGAAATCACTGTTTCATTGCTTGTGCTGTGGAGGCAGAGGCTAAATTGGTCATTGTTCTAAAATGGAAGATGTCTGCTCCACCCTACTGGACAGTCAACAGCAATGAAGGAGACTAAAGCTGTCAGTCATCCTTCCTTTATTCAGGGGTTCAAGTGTGTACTACAAGGTTGCAGAGCCCAGCTTACACTTACTCTGCTGATTGTGAGCTCCTTGGAGCTACTGGAGGACCTGCTTGTTTTAAGCTGAGAGGTCAAAGACCCTTGGGAATGACCCTTAGCCTGAATTTCCCACTCCTTAGTTTCAGCTGTACTGGGGATAAGCACTTTACATCAGAAGCAGAGGAGAGGGGATGCTGTAATTCAATGGTTCTCAACCTGTGGGTCATGACTCCTTTGTATGTGTGTGTTGGGGGGTGTCAAGTGATCCTTTCACAAGGGGCACATAGCAGATATCCTGCACATCAGATATTTTACATTATAATTTCATATCAGTAGCAAAATTACATCTATGAAGCAATAATGAAATAATTTTATGAAGTGTGTCACCACAACATGAGGAACTGTATTACAGGGTCACAGCATTAGGAAGGTTGAGAACCACTCCTCTAGTTGTTCCCATGGAATACAGCTGTGGGGATGGCCCTGTGAGGCTTCCCAATGCCCTGGCACCCAAAAACTATTAATTCAAACTCTCTAGTCTGCTTGGTAGGCTATGATTTTTATCTAGCTATGTGCTCAGGGATAGACAGCAGGAGACATAGAGTGAAGGCTATGTTGGGTTTGGGAATCATCAAATATTGAGAATGAGGGCAATGATACATGAGCAAAGGCACCTTTATTCCATAGACACAGGGCACCAGAACTTCTAACTTAGGGACATGGGTAGATGGGGCTCATGGGTAAGTCGGGTTCAAACACTGTGACTCTGAACATAGGGAGTAGTGTCCTTTTTAAGGAAAACAGTTCCAAGTACAGGGGTCAAGTGTGAAACAAGAAGGGACTTTCACAATTAGAGGTTAAGCCTTGGGTGATGGTACATTCCAGGAACTTACAACTCAGTGATAACATTTTACAATTAGTAATACAACTTGTCATAACAAGGTATTTGTACAAGCTTAAAGGGGAGTTTTCTGGTTATCTCAACATAACTCTTGACACAGCTAGGGTCTTGTCTTAGTTTTTAATCAACTGAACCAGCAGAGAATATGGGAGAAGGTCCAAGCAATAGAAGAGTCTGGGTAGATAGGCTAATGTTCAGACTTACTCTGGGCCTTTCAGCTGTGGCCTGAATCCCCTGGAAAGTGAAGACTAAGTAGTGTCTGAAACATGGACCAGATCTGATGCCGTCACTCCACATCCTTCAGCAAAGAACTCTCAGTTTTCACAGAACATCTACATCAGTTCTGTCAGGACAGCCTGTACTACCTCCAACTGAAAGTCTACAACAACCCATGACTTTTCCACAGGCGTGTTATTTACGTTGCTGAACCTGGTTCATTCCTGGGAGCATGTAAGCACAGGGCCTGTGATTCTTAGCTGTGCCTCTCCTCTCAAAGGCAGGCTTCCCGTCTGATGCTGCTTGGCAGGGGCACATCTGTCCCCTGAGTGGGTAAAGAAGCTCAGAGGACTTTGTCTGAATCTTCTCATGCTCCCAGATCCAGGCTGGGTACAGAAATGGCCAGGATTCCCATGCTGCTGTTTGGTGAGGAATGAGGGAGCTTGGCTTAGAGACACTGAAAAGACACTCGATGACTAGGCTGTTACTCAGATATCGATTCTGGATTCTATGCAAAAACTCAAACAGCCTGAGGCTTCTGCAGAGGGATTTGGAGAGAGGTCAGAACTTGTGAGGCAGCTGGCCCAGAATCAACTTCCTGCTTCCTATTGCCTGACCTTTAGATCAGCCACAATCTTGTTCAGGGCAGACTGAACTTTGGTAGGAGGCTTTCTGGTGGGCAGAGTTATGGGGAAAAAAGCAAAGCAAGCAAACAAATACACGGACAAACAAAACCCAGAACAACCAGGGTTCCTTGGGAGTGAAGGGGAAATTTCAGAAAAGGGAAAGCCAAGGACCTGGTGATGTCCAGGTAGACAGAGCTCCATCTGAACTGAGAGCTAAGCCTTGTCCTTTGTAAGCACATTGCTTGTAATCAGAGCCATTGTATTATAACTGTATGCTCCCTCTGTGGTAACAAAGTCTCCCAGTTCTGGCTTAAGTAGGAGTTGGTAGGTAACTGCCAACCCAACCAGTCTTGACCCAGAATAGGTCCCCAGACTGCAGAACCCTTTTACCCACACAGTGCCTGCCAGATCTTTCCATGGAGTGTCTGTTCAGACTTCCTGATGTGCAGTCTATTATCTGACATGCACCCTCTTCCAGGACTGCCTTAAACTGGAGTTTCCTCTCCTGAAATCTTCATCCCAGCTTCTCTCTAAGCCCAACTGTGTGTTGAAGAAGTATTGGCTGGTTTGGGCAAGTATGACAGCCAAAATTATGTTTTCAGCTTTAATTAATGTGCCAAAGAGATCCAAGAAACTCAAATGTCTCTAACCCTTGCCCAAGGCCAGACATTTCCTGAAATACAAGAGGCTATTTTTTATGGAACATAACAAGCCACAAGTTTTAATCCCCTAAACCAATTTGTTTGCCCCAACTGCACCAGATGTGCTTGATCTCATGTGGACTGGCGTATGTAGGCATGAAATATGTCAGAATGTATGTTTGCCCCTGATTGGATGTGATGGGAAATATGGTGATTTATGGAGTTGCCTTTTAAAACCTCTGCAAAATAAGATTCACTGCCATTTTCTGGGAACACAAAAATGGACCTGGACAGAACACATCATTCTGGCCCATATTAAATTAAAGCTTGCTTCAAACTGGGTTCAAAATTATGGTAGTGGTCTTATTCTCCCCTGGGTGGATTAACACAAGGCCAGAGTATTCTAGATTCCTGTGTCAACAATCCTGTTGATAGTGTAGACACATACTAGAGTGTGAGATGTTCAGGGAAGATGCTGACTATTGTAAAAAGGTGAGGAGTTAGAAAGGGGTAGCAGGTGAGATGGGGATGAGGACTCTGTTTTATTGAAACTGCTTCCTGCTGGCCTAGAGACATTGCAATCTTTGGGGGACCAGAGAAAGCTGGGGTTCTGGCCAAGTCCAAGAATACCCGGCCATTTCACTTTGCTTTCCAGGCTCTGTGGGCTGTCCCATGCCTCTCGGACCTGGCAAGATGTTGTTTGAGGTGGACCCAAATCATGTCCCTGGAGCTTACAATAATTCTTTGAAATTATGAAAAGATAAGTTTTAGACACATTAGCATTCCTACTGTTTATAATCTGTACAGAAATCCTCATTACAGAAAAGGTAGTATACTACCTAGTGGCAGTGCTCTTCTAGATTAATAGCTTACCAGAATTCCAGCAATTAATGTTAAGCCTACGAACTTTTTGAGTCTCTTCTTAAAATTAATTTTAATTAAATTAGAAACAATCTTATTTTGCCGGGGATTCCCAATCCAGTAGAGTTGAGTGCAGCTGTGTGCTGAACCCTCATTCTTCTGGAGTTGGGGACAAAGCAGTTGATCTCCGTGCTCTCTGAAGGTCAAGGGAACAGGGTCCTATTCGAGGTGAAGGTCCTGTGACATTTTAACATGGGTGTTTTTTAAGCCGCATTTAGTTATAGATATCTTTCCTGAGGACTGTCCCCATCTTTGACTCTCACATTGTAGTAAACCTAGACAGAACATTCAGAAAGGGAACAGCAGACAGACGCAAGCAGGTTTTAGAGCAATGAAAAAGAAAGTGAAGAAATCTCTCTTGGTTTCCTGACAGTCTGGTCCAAGAAATACTGAGGCCAGATTTGACTTAAATGGTGTGGTTACTGGTTACTGGGTCTCCAAAGACGTCCCAATCTGACATAGTTCCGAAGGTTGAGGCAGAGGAAGAAAATCCAAAGCCTGGATGTTCTCTAGTCCCAGGGATTCAGGGAGGATAGGATTGAGTGGGCACAAGCTGTTCAGTAAGTTTTCACTCAAGAACAGGGGCCAAGTGCTCTGAGCTGAAGAGAGACACAGTCACCTGGTACCAGGGCTTTGAGAGAAGCCAGAAGGTGAGGAAATGACTCTAGAAAGAGGCTGCACATTCAGGGGAATGGCCAGAGGCAGGCAGCCCCGCCAGACACCCAATTGCCAGTATTGGATGGAAGGCTTCATAGTAAAGGATAAGCAGGCTTCAGATGTAACTTCCCACTTAAGGTGTGTAAAGGTGGTGTTCTAAGTATAGACTTAAAGGTATGTTTCATTGGGCCCTAGGAAAAATGTTTTAACCCAAAGACAATAGCTTTGCTGTGATACCAAGGTATAAATCTGTTCCAGCTGTTTTACAGGTCCTCCAGGTTCCTGGAGAAAGAGTTCTGCTACTGTATCAAGAAATCTGGTCTGGTGAAAACTAATATCAGTCTCTAGAGCCCCTCTTTGACCCACCCCACCCATCTGCCAGCCTGTATTTTACAGGTCCGCTCTTCCTGTCATACCTGTGCTGAGGCCAGCCCGAGGTGGGGGAGGGGAGGGTAGTGGGGCTCCAGACATGCCTATCCCTGCACCACCTCCGAGGACAGCAACTGGGCAGGTACTGTCAGGTTGTCTTCACCCACGTGTCCACTCACAAAAAGCTCTGTTATCTCTTAACTCCTCCCGACACCTTTACAGGATGGGTGGAGAGACCCCCACCTCCAGGAACAGCAGACATGATGACTCAGGTACTCCTGGATCACAGCATCCCCTGACTTGACACGCCATTCCCCAAGCTCCTGGGACATCAATATGGTACCTACCACCTCCCCAGGCTCAGGCGGGCACCCATGCAGGATAGATGTCTGTGCAGCAACTGGGACCCTCCACCCTCTGGTTTTCCAAACTGTCCCGATGAAGGGCCTATCTGCTCTTCTGCGTTGCTCATTCGTCTTTGTCCGTACAACCCGGGCACATCTCCACTCTCTCATGCTTGTCCTGTTCCTAGGGCTGGTGACAGCAACCATTTTCTTCTCCTAGCAACGTGCCTTCTCCACTTCCTCAAGAAACAGATGCCTGAGGCCTTCAGGATGGCAGTTAGCTGAATGCTTCTCTCCTCCCCCACCGAGCATTAGCCCACTCATTACCGACTCCCCATGCCCACATCATCCTATGCCAGCAGGAAGCAGCCATACTTTAACCAGCACACATACAACCCAAGAAGGATGGAGTGTTCCCTTGAAAGTCCCATCTCAGCCCCCTCATCCCTCTTCAAACTCTGCCCCTCAGAAAGCCTGCCAAGCAATGGCTCCTCCCCCAGAGCCGCTCAAGACATGGAATACAGTGTTTGTAAGCTCCAGTCCATAGACCTGTCATGTCTGCTCCTCCCTCCCCCGCCTCACTTCTGGGGGCTCGAGAGTCACCTGAGAGTGCTTTGCTCATCAGACCTGGACTTTTAATTCGGCTTCATCTGGCTTTTTGTGTCGGGGGAGAAACCTACTTCCAGGGACACAGAAATGTTTATCTAGCTACAATGTCACGTATTGACTGTTGCTGATGACATATCCTGCCAGGTCCCCGAGAGCAGGCCAGTGTCAATGCCTGAATGCTAACACTGACAGCACCTGGAGTGCTCAGCTCCTGATATTCTCACCTGTAAACCACAGTTTTAGACACAGAAGACATTTGCTCCGTATTCTAGCAGTCTGAGCAGAGGCCAGGTGTCTGCAGGGTGAATTGTCACTCCATCCGTTGTGTGACCTTCCTCCCTCTTCCTGGTTTTATAGGACTCACTAATTTAAAAGAGAAATAGCATCTTGTAGAGAGTGTTGGCCCACTAGATTATGTTCTGCACAGTCCTGAGAATCAGCAATGATTGTCATGCTTTCAGTTTTGAATGAGTGAGTTTATTAAGTATGTAGCAAGCCAAAGCAAAAGAGTAAATGTAAAAACAACAAAATATCATTAATAGTGTGCTTGAAATATCCAGGGGGAACTGACGGGGAAGTCATGTAGAGGTGGAGGGAGGGGGTGGCAGAGCTCCCATTGGAATCCAGGGCAGAGCAGAGTTAGTGTCTGGTGAGGCTTCCAGGTTGAGGAGTAAACAGCAAGAGAGAGGTAACATCATCAAATTGGATGCTCACAGCAGCCAGCAGAAGCTGTCTGTGGAAGCTGAGCAGTCAGGGTAAACAGGTGTAATGTCTGTTAGAAATGGTTCAACTTCTAGCTGTTCACAAGACAGTGTTTCCACTCTTGGCCTGTTTTGCTGGTTTCTCTGTCCAGCCACTGAGTTAGAGAGGCCAGGCCATCTTTAGAAAAGATGCTTTGGAGGACATTTGGAGACAAACATACTAGGGTTTAAAATGGGGGAGTAGTATGATCTTGCTTCCAGAGTCATCATGTCCTCAGTGGGCTCCCTCAGCACCTGACAGTTCACTACTGTGATGTACATTGCAAGTGTTAAGTTTTATTTAGGAGTCTAACTGAACAGGAAGGACAATATAGAAAGTCAAAAACAGAAGCGTGGCAGGGTGTATGCATGGAAGGCAGAGTGGACAGTGGACTCTCTGAGCACTGTGCTGTTGACTGCTGGAGGGATGGGTAGTGGAGAGAATAGAAAGGGCTAAGTTAACAAAACAATGTGGTTGTTACTCGATTGAGGTTCCCCTGTGTTGTTGATTGATAAAGTTCTTTCAAAAGTCTTCTCAAACTGGCTTCCTACAGTGACTCCAAGATTGTCAAACTTCTGGCTCTGTAAGGGAAGTAGAAAATCAGTAATCAATGATAGCTATCCCTTGTTAGGTTTGGACAGTCAGTCCTTGCTTAGACTATTCAAAGAGGGGAGGTTTAGTCCAGTTAAGAGAAGGTTGGGGGTGGGAGGGTACAAATTGACTCAGTGGGTAAAGGCACCTGCTCCTAAGCAGACTGAGTTCAATCCCTGGGACCCACATGGTGGAGTGAGAACTGACTCCAGCAGGCTATCCCCTGGCCTCCATGCACACACCTGCACCACGGCATGCACTGATAAGTTGTCTCCCCACAAAGTATGGCAGGCTGAGTATCCCTTGCTCTAGATGCCTGAGATCAACAGTGGTTTGGGTTTTAGATATTGGGATATTTGCTTATACTTAATGAGATACCACAGGAATGGGATCAAAGTCAAAATCGAAAAATTCATTTGGTTTATATAAATATTTCACAGATAACTTTATATAGCATATTTCATATATTTTTCATGAAACAAACCTTTCTTGGTATGAGAGTTTCCACTTCTACCATGTTAGTGCTAGGTGAGGTATAATACCCTGTTTATCATATATATAGGAGAGCTATTGATGTTTTCAGTTAATCTGGTATTCATCCATACTACTGGAGGCACTTATCAGTTGTTGGAGTTCCCTGGTAGAATTATTGGAGTCATTTATGTATACTATCATATCATCAGTAAATAGCTAAAGTTTGACTTCTTCGTTTCCGATTTGTATCCCCTTGATCTCCTTTTGTTGTCTGTCTTATTGGTCTAGCTAGAACTTCAAGTATTTTTATGATTGTCAATTTCTATGGGGGATATAGGTCTACTTAATTTGTTTATCTGGTCTCGATTTAATTTTTGTCTGTGGTACTTATCCATAAAATTGTCTATTTTCTTTAAATTTTCCGGTTTTGGGGAGTAAAGGTTTTTGAAGTATGACCTGATGATTCTTTGGATTTCTTCAGTGTCTGTTGTTATATCTTTTCATTTCTGATTTTGTTAATTTGGAAATTCTCTCACTGTCTTTAGTTTGTTTGGATAAAGGTTTGTCTATTTTGTTGATATTCTTGAAAGCCAACTCTTTTTCTTTCATTGATTCTTTATATTCTTTTCTTTGTTTCTATTTTATAGATTTCAGCTCTCAGTTTTATTATTTCAAGTCAACTAGTTCTCCTGGGTAAGTTTGCTTCTTTTTGTGCTGGATCTTTCACTTTGTCTGCTAATTTGCTAGTGTGGCATTTCTCCAGCTTCTTTATGTAGGCATTTAGTGCTATGAACCTCTCTCTTAACAATGCTTTCATTGTGTCCCACAAGATTGGGTATGTTGTGTGGTCATTTTCATTGAATTTTAGGAAGTCTTTAATTTCTTTTTTTAAATTTTTTTCCTTGACCTAGTGGTGATTCAGTTGAGCATTGTTCAATTTCCATGAGTTTCTAGGCTTTCTCCAATTAGTGTTGTTGAATTCTAATTTTAAGCCACAGTGATCTGATAAAATACAGTGGGTTATTCCATTTGTGTGTGTGTCTATTAAGCTTTACTTTGTTGCTGAGTATATGGCCAATTTTAGAGAAGGTTCCATAGGGAGCTGAGAAGAAGATATATTTTGTGTTTGTGTGAAATGTTATATAGATGTCTACTAGGGTCATTTGAATCATAATATTTGCTAGTTATTTTACTTTTCTGTTACGTTTCTGTCTGGTAGACCTGTCCAGTGGTGAGAGTGGGATGTTGAAGTCACCCACTATTAGTGTGTGGGGCTTGATGTACAATTTAAGCTTTAGTTATGTTCCTTTTACAAATGTGGTTGACCTTGTATTTGGGGCATAGATGTTCAGAATCTGATAGATTTTTTCCTGTGATGAATATGAAATGTCCTTCTTAATTTCTTTTGATTACTTTTAGTTTGAAGGTTTTTTTGTTAGATATTAGGAAACCTACACCAGCTTGTTTCTTAGGACCATTTTATTGGAAAATCATTTTTCAACCCTTTACTCTGAGGTAATGCCTGTCTTTGAAAATGAGGTGTGTTTCTTGCATGCAGTAGCAGGATGGATTCTGTCTTCATATTCATTCTGTTAGCCTGTGTCTTTTTATAGAAGAATTGTGTCCATTGATATTAAGGGATACTAATGACCAGTGATTGTTAGATCTTGTTATTTTTTTGTTGGTGGTGGTTGTGGTATTGTATGTGCATTTCCCTTCTTTGGGATTTGCTGGTGTGGGATTTTCTATTGCCTGTGATTTTTTGGGTACAGCTAACTTCCTTAAATTGGAGTTTTCTTTCTAGTAGTTTCTGTAGGACTGTATTTGTGGATTGGTACTGTTTAAATATGGTTTTGTCATGAACTGTCTTGTTTTTTCCATCTATGGTGTTAAATGCTCTGATGGGTATAGTTGTCTGGGCTGGCATCTGTGGTCTCTTAGTGTCTGCATAATGCCTGTCTGTGACCTTCTGGCTTTCATTGTTTACATTGAGAAGTTAGGTGTAATTCTGATAGGTCTGCCTTTATATGTCACTTGTTCTTTTTCCTTTGCATCTCTTAATATTCTTTCTATATGCTGTATGTTTAGTGTTTTGACTCTTATGTGGCAAAGGGATTTTTTTTGGGGGGGGGCCCAGTCTATTTGGTGTTCTGTAAGCTTTTTATACAGTCAGAGGAATGTCCTTTTTCAGGTTGGGAAATTTCTCTTCTATGATTTTGTTGGATATATTTTCTATGCCTTTGAACCAGACTTACTCTTCTTCTTCTATTTCCATTATTCTTAGGTTTGGGCTTTTCATTGTTTCCCAGATTTCCTGGATAGTTTGTGTTAAGAATTTGTTGGACTTAACATTTTCTTTGACCAAGAATTTCTAGTATGTCGGGTGGTGATGGGCATGCCTTTAATCCCAGAACTCAGAAGGTAGAGGCAGGTGGATCTCTGCATTCATGGTCTACAGAACAAGTTCCAGGACAACCAGGGCTAAAAAGAGGAACTCTTTCTTGAAAAAAAATCTACTAATGTTCAGACCAAAGGTGGGATCCACTGAACTTGAGACTGATCCCAACTGCACTGTTCCTCAGACTCTGGGTTTCCTTCTGAAGGACAAAAGAGATCACTCATGTGATGACTCCCAAGGTTTGTTCCTATCTCTGTCTCAAACATTTTGATGCTCAAAGCTGCCTTGGCCTTTTACGCTGTTTAAAATAACAACTACATGAGCAACAAAAAATAAATTCAAATTTGGTCAAATCCAAATTGGTTAATTTTGAAATGTAGAAGGGCACAGAGATGGAAAACAAACAATTTGTAGACAAAAACTTCAGATATCATGGCAGGAGATCTTGGGATAATTACCTTTCTTCTTTTCCCAGGTAGGTCTGGTAGATGTCCATCCTGAAAGACAGAGAGTTAGTGATGGAGAGGTCTCTGTTTTCAGTTTGTGAGTTAGGTATTTCTAACTTCCTTCTAGATATTTCTGTCTGAATGTATCATTGTTACTTGTAAGGTGTCTTCATGGAAATTACTCTCCATGTGCACCCCCCTCCCCCACAATGAGTCAAGGAAATATCTAGATCCCTGTGGTGATATCTTTATTGCACAAATAAAGCCTGTCTGGGGGTCAGAGAATGGAACTTGCCACAAGCTAAGCTAACCATAGATGTCTGGGGGTCTATACAGACAGACAGGAAGTAATATAGCTGGGCAGAAACAGGATGTGAGCAGGAAGAAACAGGAGATGGTTAGGAGGTAAGGTATGCTGTGGTTTATTCCTTCTCTCTAATCTTTCAGCATTTCCCTCTTTATCTGACTTCAGTTTTTATTACCTAGACCAGTTAATAACTCTATTTACAGACCCAGTTTTTCTGACCCAGTGATTTTCACAGTGAGCTCGATGCCACTCGATGGGCTTCCTGCCACACTAACAGCTGGTTTCTCATGCTCTCTTTCCCCATGCAGAAAGTCCCTCTCTACACTTTGTCAGAAATGTCCTCTGTGACCCCCAGCTCAGTGAAGATTGTCCCATGACATGGTTTTTAATCTGAAACCCAGAAATAGCCATCCCGCCCCTCAGCTACAGCATTGTTTCCTGCAGACACCTCTCCTCACAGAAGTGACTAGAGGTACGGTATGAAGGGGCAGCCTTGCCCTGGCCAGGGGCTCACACGTATATTCCCCATGACTTTGGATGCAGCGCAGTCGATATTGGATGAGCAAACATTTTTGCTAGTTTTGTGAGAATGACACAGGGAAAGGCCATCTGAGATGTGTGACAGAAAGATCAGTGTACCCTAAGTCAAAAGAAATGTTTCAGCTCCCAAGGAAACCAACTTATTTTCCCAGTTCAGGGGGTTAATATAAATGAAGAAAAAAGAACTTATTTCAAAAGTATTTTGCTTTTACTTAACTCCTATTTTTTGGGTAGATGGAGTTGAGGAAAATCTCAGTCTATAACTGAAGCTGTTCTGGAATTCACTACAGAGTCTGGACCAGCCTCGAGCTCTGAGCAATCTCCCTGTCGCAGTCTCACAAGTGCTGGGATTAGAGGTTTGGCCCACCACACTCAGCTACTCAAGAGCAAGTGTGAGGCGACTACAGGAAGAAGTCCTGCTGCAACATTCCATAACTCGGGCATCCACATGGGTGGTTATTTTCAGATATGGAATCATGTAACATTTTCATCACTGGTACTCTAAGTTTAAATTATAGTTAAATTTAATTTAAATTATATCCATGCTACCAAATTTTATGCAGCATGTCAATGGTAAAGGTCACAGTCTTTTCTCCTCTACCCAAAGGTTGTAAGTTAGCATGTTTTAGAGGACTGAGCTGTAATACAAACCAGCCAAGATAATACCTGAGTGGCATGCTGGCAGCCACCCGTGCCATAGAAGAACCATGGAGGTATTGTGGACACAGACCTTCTGCAAACAGCTGGTACCAGTGAGTTATGACAGTTGAAGCTACATGTCACACTGAAAGAGCTTCTAATCTGTTGTCTTACCCCAGAATAATTGAAGCTGCCTCTCATAGAGAAGCTTTTAATCCACCATCTTACCCAGGAACCATGGAAGCTATCTGCCTCCAGAATACCTCTATCAGTTCTTTCAGGGGCCATCCATAGCAACGTATGCTTTGCTTCCACTTTTTGGAATTTCCACGGTTTCCTTTGATTTCAAACTCCCTGAGAGTTAGCCATTCTCCAGTCTCACTCAGTATACTCTTTTCACCAGTGCCTGTAAGACCAAGACAAACTGAAGAACCTGCTCTTGAGCCATCCTCATCTGGGATCTGGGGCTCAGGTTTAGTCTCAGGAGGGTGTGCATTTCCCTCTCAGTCATCAGGGGTCTCACATGCATCCTCACAGGCAAGGGCAGAGAGGGACGCCCTCTGACATTACCCTCAGACTTTCTAAAAGGAATTCATTTATTTTCTGTGTAATGGCACTTTTTCTGCAAGTGTGTGTGTTCACAACATCTGTTCTTACTGCCCACAGAAGCCAGAAAAGGGTATTTGGTCTCCTGGAACTGTAGTTATAGATGGTTGTGGGCCACTGTGTAGGTGCTGCCAATTGAACCTGGATCTTCTGGAAAAGCAGCCAGTGTACTATACAGCAAACCCATCTCTCCAGCCTTTGACGTCACCATTAAGGGAATTCTACTGTCACGCTAAAAGACAAAATGGGGGGGGTGTCTCTAGAACATGATCAGGATTGTCTTCCTTTTACTTCCAGTATAGGGCTGGCTTGCATTTCAGAAAGGTGTGTGAGGGCAGAAAACTCCCTGCTGGGCTCCTGTGAATCCAGCCATGAGGAAGCTGTCACCATAGCTACTTCTATGACATTTCCTCTTCCCACTCATGACAGGTGGTTATTTCTCATACTCTAGACTCATGCTATTTGATGTTAAAAATGATGTTGGAAATGTTATTTACAGGGAGTAGCCTCTTTAGGTGTAGGCAGTAGAACCATAGGGGAAACATTTGTTGATAACAAAAGAACTATATTGGTTCTATGGAGATGATTGCTGCTTTTGCAGAAGACCCAGGTTCAGTTCTCAGAGACCCCATGGAGGCTCACAGTCATCTGTAACTCCAGCTCTGATGTCCTCTTCTGGTCTCCATGGCCGCCAGGCTCACTCAGAGCATAGACACATATGCAGCCAAACACTCACAGTCAGAAAATAAAAATGAATCTTAAAGAACTGTGCTGTGGAAAGGAGGGACACTCATGATAGATGATCAGTGGTCCTGTACTGTAACAATTGTCATTTTTACAATACTTAATGTCTATTATCTTTTTACTAATAGCAACATGGTAAGAGAGGTTTTACTCTCATTTCATAAGAGGACATTCAGCATTAGAGAGACTGCTGTGCATGACAGAGAAACTGACTTGTGGTTGAGCTATGCTTTGAGTGCCTCGCCTCCAGGGTTTGTATACTGAAAACCTTGGCCTTGACATGGTGGCATATGAGGTATCATTACAACATTGAGGGTGCTGCCTTGGGGGATTAAGATAGTTCTCATGGGACCCCAATCACTGTCTAGCTTCCTGTCTTATGATGTGATCTCTCCTCCTCCATGTTGTGCCCCTGCCATGATGCCACCTGTCGTCAGTCTCTCACCAAAGGCCAACATATGAGGCAGCCTGATCTTAGCCTTTTAGCCTCTAAATCTACAAGCTTATGGAGTAGCCTGACTTGAATGTTCAATAGAGCAAAGAACACTGGACCAATACAACAAGAAAGCTGAAGTTTGAGTGTATTCAAATTCCAATTCAAAATCCTGTTTTTTCTTACTCAGCCTAAAGTTTGCCAGAGGTTACAGCTAATGGACACACAAGGCTTAATGCTGACTTTCTCAGGCATATCATTTCCCTTCCAGGGGTGTTGGTGCTTACTCCGGTACGAGATGCTAAGTGGGCATCTTATCAGCCTTTTTCACAACGGGAAGGGGTGGCTGCATATGGATGTACGATACTTAAACACACACAACTGCAGCTTTGTGTACAGCTCAGTGATAGAGTGTTTGCCTCACATGCACAAGGCCATGGGCTTAATCCAAGGGCTTAAAGAAAGAGTAAGAGAAAGAAAAATATGGAAAATACCCTCATTCCTGCTGTCTCTCTGGGGTTTGATGCAGAAAAGTATGAATACAGCAGACCCGAGACTTTCCCGAAAAATATCATCTGGCACAGCCGGCCTTTGGCTGGGGTCTGCCAATGTGCCTTTAGATCGAGTTTTTCTTTTTAATTTTATTTATTTATTTATTATGTATACAGTATTTTACCTGCATGTATGCTTGCATACCAGAAGAAGGTACCAGATCTCTTTTTAGGTGGTTGTGAGCCACCATGTGGTTGCTGGGAACTGAACTCAGGACCTCTGGAAGAGCAGCCAGTGCTCTTAACCTCTGAGCCATCTCTCCAGCCCTAGGGAGAGCTTCTGTCACTCCCAGAAACACAAGAGTAACTTATCCATGCCAAAATTTATTTACAAACAGTTCATGTCACACACAAAAACCACTCTCCTGGTGGGTATCAGGATTTGGTATGTGCTCTGTACCTGCATAACTTATTGCTGATAGAAGCCCAGGTCCTAGGCTGGTGCAACCCCTTGGAAGAAAACCTTTCACTCTTTTGTTGCTGGTGTAATTAGTTGCACTCTGTGTGTCCCCACTAGGAGTGTAAGACCAAGGGTTTCTGGGTCCTCTGAACCTGTCCTCATGCCCCCTTGTCATCGTTAACCTGGACTCACAACCTGTCACTTAAGTAACGGGCATAACATTCCCTGTATCCTGAGTCCTGAAAACTAGATCTGGGATGAGGCACCCCAACACAGGTGCCCGCTCCCCATGTGGTGCCATTGTCCACGTGAAGAGCACAGAAGATCTGGAAACTCACCTTGCTCAAATTTCTCCTTATACAGAGTCCCCTTAGCAGTACCACAGGTCACCGGAAGCTCAGGACAGACAAAATTCACATTGAATTGTCTGCGAATTCTTGGACCTGCAGAGACACATTTCACTTTATTCTAGAACAGTGTACCGCCTTTCCTCCACCCCTTTAGTCTCTTGTTTCTGCAACTAAAAATGCATTGGGTTTTCCCATGGATCAGTTACACTTGAAGGTCTTTCCTTTATGAATGATTGGATGCTTAGAGATAATAACACGCTCTGCTCCCAACTTCTGAACTCCTGCTTAGCAACTGGAGCCTTGTGGGGCAGAATCCCAGCTCTCAAACTTGTTGGCCACAGCAGCCACTGTTTAGTGACTTTCCTAGGAATATTTTGAAGAGATAGTTCTCATTATATAATGGCTTTGGAATTTTGTAGATGGGAAAAATAACTCAAATTTTGTTCTGTTGTTGGATGCATCTATGGTAGACAAGGATGGACGGGGACACCCAATGAGGTGTCATTGTTCACCTTTCACCTGATTTGCTGTCTTTCTCCTATCCTGAGCTTGCCTGAGGGCTCACCCAGTAGCTCTTGAAGATCCTGCAGATGCTACAGCCCTGCATACCACTTGAGGGGTGTTTGAGTCAGAAACAGAAAGCCATGAGGGCGTTCATATTTAAACATCATGGTGCTAACACGGATATCTGATATAAGTCAGATAAAGCATAGATGGCACTGGACATGGTGGGAAGCAGGGGTTGATAGGGGTGACAATGAGTTAGCACAGAATGCCTGACACCAGGTATCTGGAGACCCCAAGGTAAATAGTGATGTTATCTCTTAGATAATGAGTTCCGGCCACTTTTGTGTGGTTCTGTATCAATATGGCCTTGAGGTCTCCTTTACCAGCTTGCCTGCCTGTGTTTGTCTATCTTCAGGCCTGTACACCTTCCTCCACTCATCCTGCCTGGGTGCCAGCTCATTCCTGGGTGTCTGCTCGTGACTGCCTGTCTAGCAGCCTGGGTGCTGGTGCATAGAGTGTGTCTCATTTGCCTGTAGCGTGTCAAAACCTCTCCAGCCTCCCAGCCTTCCAAGACTATCCTCATCTCCTGGCATCAGAGCACAACTCTCAGAATATGTGGATCCAATTCCATTGAACCAGATGCGAAAAGTCTTAAAATGAACTTCCAAAGTAGTGGCTCTGCCTTTCCAGTCAGTTAAGGGATCTATAAAAGACACAGGGGCTGGGATGTGGTATGTGGAGCATCCTACAGTTGCTTCAGAGCAGTCTATCAAAGCAATATTGTCCATGGCTGGCCACTCAGCTTATCTCACCTGAAACCCTTTGTCACATTTTTTATGTGTATTGGCATTTTGCCTACATGTATTTCTGCGTGAGGGTATCAGATATTGGACTTACAGGAAGTAATGGACTGCCATGTAAATGCTGGGAATTGAACCTGGCTCCTCTGGAAGAGCAGTCAGTGCTCTTAATTGCTGAGCCCTCTCTCTATCCCCTCCTATGTCACATCTCTACAGATAGATAAATTGAGTTACAAAAGGACAAATGACAGGAGAAAGACACACAGGACTTTAGGAATTAGAACACAGGTTTTGTATTGCTGTCAAGATCTTTGTGTTTCTGTGGCTTTCCATGTGGGCAAGAAAAGGCATGCTAAACATCATGTGGGTCACACACTTTATTTCCTTCCTCAAGAATGGTTATCACATGAAGACACTTGCAGTCTGGGCCCCTCGCAAATCAACTAATTAACCAGTGGAATGGGAGTTATTAGTAATCTGTTGTGCTGGGAAAACTGACCAATACTGACAATGATCTTAAGATTTGGTACTAATTTCAACATCAGAGAATTTAACAGCTGATATAGGAACAGCTAAATGTTCAACATATTAAGGAATCAACCAGCCCTTGGAATTCTTCCTGTATTTGTTATTAAAATAAATCTGGAAAAGGAGAACTCGGACAGATTTTAGTGCCATAAATAAAGTAATTCAGGCAATGGGTTCTTTACAACCTGGAATTCTCTTGCCCTCTCTGTTACCTAAAGGATGTGCTATTTAATTATTGATGTAAAAGACTATTTCTTCACTATACCTCTACAAGAAAAGGATAGGGAAAAATTTGCTTTCTAAATCCCTTTTAATAATTCTCAGACTGCTAAGGGATATCAATAGAAAGCTCTCCCACAAGGGATGTTAAATATCCCCACCATGTGCCAATATTTTGTACAGCAGCTATTGGAAAAATCCATGCACACTTTCCTTAGTCTATTATATGTATGATATTTTATTAGCTGATTCAAACATAGATACTTTAGAAAAAAATGTGTCAAGTAAAGAAAGTTTTGCCTTGCTGGGGATTACAAATTGCTCATGAAAAAAATACAGAGGAGATTCTATTAATTACTTAGGACATGAGATAAGTCTAAAAGAATTCAACCTCAAAAGGTACAAACAAGGAGAGATCAATTTTGGACTCTTAATGACTTTTAAGAATTTCTGGGAGACATTACCCATCTATGGCCATTGGAGTAACAACTGAAGAACTCAGTAGTTTGTTTCAAACTTTAGAAGATGACAAAGACTTAAATAGTCCCAGAGAAGTATAAGGTGAAGCTGAGCGAGAATTGGCTTTTGTTGGAGAAGAAATTACAGGATGCACATGTGGGTTGTCTGGTTTCAGATCTTGATTTCATTCTGGTTATTTTACACTCTACACATTCCCCTACAGAGATTTTAATGCAGAGGAAAGATATTATCTCATCCTGGATGTTTTACATCACAAGCAAGTAAAAAATTAAAGACATACGTGGAAAAGGTTTCTGAGTTGATTCTAAAAGGAAAATTAAGACTTTGTCAACTAAGTAGGAATGGACCCAATAGAGACTGTAGCACCTTTTACTGATGCTGTAATCTCTTCTTTATGGGCCAAAATGAGCACTGGCAAGGAGCTTGCAGTATTTTTTGGGGAGGGGGGATTAACAATAGATATCCCCAAAGCAAGAGACTTCAATTAATAAAAAGAACCAATTGGGCCCTCCCTTACATTGTATGCGGAACACACTATCTGGCTCCCCTTCATTCTATACTGATGCAAATAAAACAGGAAAGACAGGTTACAAATCAGGAAACTCAAGTCAAGTGGCTCAAAGCCCTTATGATTTTGTCCAAAAGTCAGAATTATATTGTATTCTCATGATGTTAATATAGTTACTGACTCTCAATAAGCAGAAAGAGTTGTTTTACACATTGAAATCATTGAACATATTCCTGATGAATCAGAACTAACTTTGTTGTTTATATGATTATAGGAAATAGTCAGGAATAGGAATCATCTCACATTTATAACAAGTATCAGATCCCAGCCAGGTCTACCTGGCCCTCTAGCACAAAGTAATGATGAAATTGATCAGTTATTAGTAGGAAATGTGCTGGAGGCCTCAAAATTTCATGAAAACACCAAATCAAGTAAGGGGTTGAAAAAGGATTTTTCCATCACTTAGCAACAAGCCAAGGAAATTATAAGAAAATGTCCTACTTGTTCCTTGTATAATCAAACTCCACTACCTGCAAGAAGTAACCATAAGGGTACTCACAGAAATGAGATTTGGCAAATGTGTGTGTTTCATTTTGCAGATTTTGAAAAATGAAAATATGTATACTATTCCATAGATATATACTAAGGATTTCAATGAGCGGCTACTTTGAATTCTGAAAAGGCTGATTCTGTAATTACACACCTATTAAGTCATGACCATCATGGGAATACCTGTAAAAATTAAAACTGACAATGCTCCAGCATATGTCTCTAGTAAAATAAAACAGTTTTGGCATATTACAATATAAAGCATATAACAGGTATACCACACTATCCAACAGGACAAGCATTTACAGAAAGATCTAACCTCACTTTAAAAGAAATGCTAAATAATCAGAAAGAGGTACTAAAGAACCCCAGAGATAGACTGCATTATGCCTTATTTACTTTAAAATTTTAAAATGCTAATGAGAAATAAATGACAGCTACAGAGAGACATTAGATACATTAGATAATAAAAATACTACTAAATTAAATCAGCCTGTATACTTTAGAGATGTGTTAACCTCAGAAGGAAGCCAGGATATGCGTTAAGTTGGTGAAGGGGTTTGCTTTTGTTACCACAAGAGAAGCAAAGCTATGGGATGCCATCAAAATTAATAAACTTGATTCAAACGTGAGAGACCTTTTGATTAGGAGAAGTGATTATTCATCAACTGATGTGGAGACTCAACATGTGGGAAGAAAAAAGTCACCAAATTAGGGTTGGGACAGGGTTCTGTTTTTGCCTTTACAAATGAATAACACTATTCATCTTAAGTACTTCAAGGATCTTTGGACAGATATACAACTAAAGAAGAAGGGAGAACTGTCCTTAAAACGTTACCAAGACAGAAGAAACAATGTGCATGATGGAATGACTACTTCTCCAGGGTAAAATCGCTTTGCCCCTTGAAATATTTGTTGTCCTGACCCAATCAAAAACTAAAGCTGGCTTTGGAGTTGGAGTGTGACTCTCTCCTTCTCTAAACCCAAGCATGTTGTTAAAAGAAAATTCAGAGTCTCTGTCTCATATCAGAAGGGCTATCTGGTATGGGACAGAAGAAAACCAAAATCTAGGGACTAGTGTCACAAATCTCTTTCCCCTCAATTTTTTTTTGACTCTTTAAAACTTTTCTTCACGTATAATACTATCTTAAAATGTAAATATTAATAATGTCTAAATTTTCCACAGTGAACAACAAATTTTCCTAACAGCGAACTCTGAAAAGAAAGTCTCCAAAAAGATGATTGGGTCGCACAACAACGATTCTACCTGAATTGTATTAATGCCATTGAGGGAAAAAACATTACCCAAAGATAGGGTTTTAGACTACAAACTGTTTAAGACAGTTCCAAGGTGGAAAGTTAAGATGACCCATCTCCTTGTACCTCTCCAGCCAGAACTTCAGATAAGCTTTACCCCTTACTCAGAGACTGGCTACAAATGTTACCGCTTGCCCTCCTAAGACTTAGCTAATGTGTTAGTTTTTACTGTGTTCCCTAGAGAT